TTAGGTCATGCCTGCGTTCATCCACTGCAGTAACGGTGTCAGCTGCTTTTCCTTCAAGAAACTGAGCCGCAACTCTTCAGAAAACATCATATTTACCAGGTCTCTCACTATTATGCTTACGCAAATCAACTGCTATTTCTGGATCTCCGAGATCTAAGGCGATTCTAACATGCTCATCGACCTTTGCTTGATTCGTAGTCTCAACTGCAGAAACATCACCGGTTAGCATTCTATAAATTGTCCGAAGAGATGAAGGCTTAGCCTTCGGAAGAAGCAATTCACAGGTACGAAAATAGTTTATTCTCATCGCTCGAGTGTGGTAACAGGGTGCATCTTTCTGCAATTCACATATAATTCATTTATTTTCTTGTAAAATCTTCTCTTCATTAGCTTCCTCATCGATTTTCCATATTGAGATTGCATTAAAAGCATTATTCTCTGTGTTGAATCGATACTCTCCAATTTTGAAGAAGAATGCATGAGACAAACCTTGTATATAATACATTCTTTGTCTATAACAAAAAACATTTATTAGCTTTATATATTAAGATAATGTAATTGCTATTGTGGTGATTATATTGAAATTATGAAACCTATTAACTCTACTCTTTATTTCTTTGTCAACAAGTCTAAACTAACTCAAAAAAGTAAAAAAAAAAAAGAAAAAAACAATCATAAAAGTTCCAAATTTTATATTATAATAGATACAAATTTCAATAAAAATCTTATTTACAATTTTATTTATTTGTTTAATTTTTTATACATACACAGGATCTGTTGAAAGAAATTCTTCAAGGTTAACTGGTTTTCAGAGTGGTAAATCGTTAAGTAACTGTTCAAGTTAATAATATTTAGATTTGTCTACAGATGTTATCCAGAAATTTCGACTATAAATTTGTACTGTTGTAGCCTGATCGATAGTTCTTATAGGAGTTTCTGATGTATGATTATTAGCAGTAATTTCACGTTGGCATTGCAAAATCCCACATAATCTGAGATAGCTACAATAAAACTATCTAGTATATCACGGAGCCAATTGAAATTTTCCTTTAGTATCTATGATGAAATAGCATATGGAGCAAGGGCTTGACAATATAAATTTAATTTGTTTGCATCAAAGTGTTTTCGTAAGTGTTTATATGATTCTGGATCTGCATGGCCAAAAAACTCGAGAAAAAGTTCGGATATGTGATAACTACGATCTTTTAATTTCTTGTGATCATGCATATCTATATACCAAATCGTTTCAGTCAAATAAGTAACAAATTGCTTTTCTTGCGTATCAGTATATGACTGTGTAGACCACTCTCTACCATGATGCTGAATCCAATCAACAATATCACTATGCAAGTTTAGTTTGCGATTTGATTTTTCTAATTGGGAGAAGTTTGGAAAATACAATTTGGTCCGGTGTGCATTCTGCATTAGGATTGTAAAGTAGTTTCACTGCAGTTCCAAATTTGACTTTACTACATCAGTTTTGAGCTAATAATGCATATGTATTCCTACATTTGTTGTAACTTCTATAATATTACAGTTAGGGCTGACTTGGATTGCAGCTGTATTCTGTGTCTTGCTTATGTCAATACGCTTTATTGTTTCCGGATCGATGATGTCAATATTACACTCGGAAGATAGTTTTCCAGTTGTAAGTTTTATAAAAAAATCTTTAATTGTCATTTCATGAGGAATTAGATGAATATACCATCTATGGATAATATTTGATCCTTTAGAAATACGGATACTTACAATCGGCATGTTTAAAGAGTTGCGGCTCAGTTTCTTGAAGGAAAAGCAGCTGACACCGTTACTGCAGTGGATGAACGCAGGCATGACCTAA